GAAAGCACATAAAGACACAAAGCCACGTCCTCGACAGAACATCTTGTGTGATCTAAGCCAGAGTTCCCCCAGGGCCACACCCTTAGCCTCAGCTCCAGAAGCAGCCAAGAGCCTAGAGGGCACATGCTCCCCCTTCCCACACCCCCATTTCATGATAGCAAGAAATTCTCACTACCCAAAGTTAAGTTGTGTGCTCAGTCTCAACACTGAGCGCTGCGCTCAAGGCAGGAAGACACAAGAGGCCCAGCAGATGGTGGGGAACTCTCCGGGATCAGCCTTAAAGGTCACCGTCTGTCACTGCCTGCCCGCTCCATCCTCTTCCGCATCGGTGGAGTCCCTCATGCTGACTTAAGGCCCAGCTACAAGCTGTGCAGTGACATTTCCTGTGGGCTGACTGTGTGCCAGGCACCATGCTAGGCCTTCCTGGACCTTAATTCTTTTTTTTTCTGAGACTGAGTTTCACTCTTGTCACCCAGGCTGGAATGCAATGGTGCGATCTCGGCTCACTACAACCTCTGCCTCCCAGGCTCAAGTCATTCGTCTGCCTCACTGGATTACAGGCAACTGCCACCACGCCCAGCTCAGCTTATTATTGTATTTTTAGTAGAGACAGGGTTTCACCATGTTGGCCAGGCTGGTCTTGAACTCCTGACCTGAAGTGATCTGCCCAACTCAGCCTCCCAAAGTGCTGGGATTACAGGCATAAGCCACGACATCTAGCCGGACCTTAACTCTGAATCCCCATACTGTCCTATGAGGCTGACACCATTATCATCCCCATTTTACAAATGAGGAAACTGAGGCAGAGAAGGGTTAAGCAGTTTGCCAGGGTGGTCAGGCCCCAGGCTACCTGGCTCCAGAGTCCAAATGCTTGCCCCTGTGTGGTACTGCGCTCCCTTCTCCAAGCCTCAGCTTTCTCCACTGCAAAATAAATAGAAGACTCAAAGAAACGATTTCTGGATCCCTCTGAGCTCTTACAGGTACAGAATCTGGAAACTGCATCCCTCCGGGGGGTCTCCAGTGTGTTCTTCACCCCCTCTCCCAAAAATGACTGCTCTCAGGAAAAGTTCCTTTTTTTTTTTGAGACGAACTCTCATTCTGTCACCTAGGCTGGAAGGCAGTGGCGCGATCTCGGCTCACTGCAACCTCCTCCTCCCAGGCTTAAGCAATTCTCCTGCCTCAGCCTCCCGAGGAGCTGGGATTACAGGTGCATGTCACCACGCCCAGCTAATTTTTGTTTTCTTAGTAGAGACAGGATTTCACCATGTTGTCCAGGCTGGTCTCGAACTCCTAACCTCAGGTGATCCATCCGCCTCGGCCTCCCAAAGTGCTGGGAGCCACTGTGCCCAGGTCTTACGGGCTCATTAACACTGTGGTATAAATAACTGACATGGTAAGTGGAGGTGAGGTAACTAGTGGCTCAGGAATTAAAGCCCAGGCCTGACTTGCTCCAGAACCTGGGCTGGGCCCGCAACAGTGCATTGTACAGGCTACAACCACTGGGCTTAGGAGCCCACCAAAAGGTATTCTTCACACCCATCAGCACCCCCTGTCCTGAAAGAATGGGACAAATTTCGGATGAAAGAAGGTGTGAGAGCAGGGAAGTCAAGGATAGAAGCTGTTAGACCTATGAATTCCCAGAGTCAGGCCTTCTGGTCCCCAAAAAAGACCTGTTCAACCTACTTCCGACTCAGCTGATTTGAGCAGGCAGTTTCCCAGGAGTCAGGCCTGGGGAGGGGACCTGGCTTTGAGCCCTTCCCTGTCATTTTATCAGGGCTCAGCGTCCACATCTGCAGAGCAAGAGGTTGGCCCCTTCCAGCTCTGCCACTTGTGAGTTTTGCTCCCAGCCTGGCCCCAACTGCACCCCATTAGCATTCTCCATGCAGGAAATCACCCGGTGCCCCCAAACCCAGAGCTCCCCTCTGAGCCAAGCACCGGAAGTTCACCTCTTGCAGGAAGGAGAGCTGTCATCACAGCCTCTGGTGCCAGGTTCCCAGCAGGCCACATTAACCCATCATCAGGGGAGCAGGGCAGGGGCTGCAGTGGTATCCTCTTAAACGGATACCTGGCGGTGGGCACAGAGCTCCCTCCCCAAAGGTATCCCTTGCTCACCCTCTCCTTCCAGAGGCTCCTGCTCCCAACCTCCCTCCCCAAAGTTCAATCTTTTTGCTTCTGTAAGTGGCTTTTAAGTTTCTCACCCAGCCTCTTGTTTCTATCAGTTTAATTATTGAGGAGGCCTCTTGTCGCCAGCCTGGAACATTACCGATGTTAAAAGGGACCCAGGGAATGCAGGCCACAGCCGGCTGGCTCCCTCTCCCCGCCCCTCCCTTCCCTCACCCAGCTCTAACACTCTCTCCCCCTTTCTGCTCCACTCCCCAGGTCTCTACCTCCTGGTCCTGCCGTGCTGTCTTGTACAGCCTGGGGGGCTCCTGACCCTGGCCCCAACCACTCCATCCTGTGTTCTGAGGAGGCACAGGCCATACTGAGACCGCACCATGCTCCTCTGTAGCCAGACAAACAGAGGACACCAGGAACCCCTAGGATAGTGAGGCTCTTCACCCCAGGTGCTTCGCCCCACCTGGCCCTTCCCCTTGCTGGGAGAGGTTAGCATAGCAGCTGCAGCCCACTCCCCCGTCTGGGCACTGAGCATCTCATCTCAAAACATCTATGTTCCCAAGTACATACTCTAATACCTAACGCTGAGTGACCATCCCTTGAGCCTTCACCATGTGCCAAGTGACGGGAACTCGGCTCCTCTCGGCGTCTCCACCTTCCTGTAAAGTAGGCACTCACTCCCCTCTGGAAAACGGGAGAGGGGACCCTCACCAATGTCACAGCTTCAAGGACTACACCAGGCTGTTTTACCATCTTTCTAAAAGACCTAGAGTCACTAGAGAAGTTTAATTACAGTCTCAGATAGAGAATGCAGCAGCCTCACTTGTGGGGTAGCCTTCCTGGAGGTTGGAGGTCTGTGCCCCACCCTGCCAGGCTGACAAGGAGGAGTCCAGGGCTTGTCCCTTCTGCTGGACAGCCTAGGCTGCCTCAGCTCTCAGGCCAGGGCCAGGCGGGCTGAAGTGATGACTCATCTGGCTTGAGCCATCACTAGGCCCCGGCCTGGGACAGCCCAGCCAGCTCTGCCTCTCCTCTGGTCTCCAGTCCCCACTGCAAAACTGGGTACAGTGGGAGGGCTGAGCCAGGCTACCCATTCCTGAACCCTCCTGCCAGGGAACTCTGAAAGATGTTCAAAGCAACACAGTCCCCGGGGATTGCTCCAATTGCCTAATGCAAGGGCAGAAATTTCTTCAAGTTCCCTGCTTCATCGTCAAACTACATACAAACAGGTTAAACCACTGATCATCAAAAAAAAAATTTCTAAACCACATACAACTTTTGCACTCTTCATAAGGCATCCATTTGTTTTAAAATTAAAATTATGTTTTCACCCAAATCATCAAGTAAAACCAACACTCCAGGAAAAGCCTCATATTCGAGGCCCACAGAGCATACTAGAAACAGGGCTATATACACAGGAGAGGGCACACGTGCTCTTCAGCCCCAAAGCAGCCAACTGGCAAAAGTCCTGCCCCACCCAGACATGTGACAGCACAACTCTGGCCTCCTCCCTTTGTCACCCCCGCCCATCGGCTTCCTCACCTCAACCACAACACTGTGACCATCCTCTCCCTTCATCCCCACTTCTATGCTGGCGGCCAGACAGGCCCCCAAGTCCTGATGCATCATGGGAGGTGGGCTAATGGCTTCCAGAAAGAGTCCCGGTGAGAGGGGTCCAGCCTCAGCTCTCCCCACCATGCCTGGTGCAAAACAGCCTCTCGGTCCACTCCCTACCCCTGGAGACTTTGGGGAGACAAAGGTCAACTCCAGAGACCAAGAATCTGACACCAGGGTGAGGGAGGGACCAAGCAGCTTCCTCAGTGTCCCTTCCTCTTCCTCTCCCCATTCTCTCCTCCACTCCCCACACACACAAACACGCACAAACACACACACACACATGCACACACAGAGCAAACAAGGCAGGCTCCAAGAGAGAAGCGGGCACATAATTATTGGTAAAATGCTTGTAATGTTTTTCTCTCTACCCGGTAGCTTTCAGTTGTTTTAGCAGCTTAGCGAAGCACTTGGCTCCAATTGAATTGCAAATCAGCAGCTCTTGCCCCAGGAAGAGAGGAAAGGAGGCGGCGAGGAGGGGGTTGGGAGGGATTCCAGAAGGAAAGGGAGAAAGGTGTGCAGGGAAGAAGGGAAAAAGGAAGGAAATCAAAGGAAAGCTTGGTTCAGGGCCCAGGGCACCAGAAACAGAGACCGCCTACTCCCGCAGGCCTCAGTTTTCCGGTCCTCATCTGCATTCTCCGCAGGCTCAGCAGCCCCACACCCCATCCAAAAAATGAGGACACTTTCTCCAACCTCAGGTGGGGCAAGAGAGCCACAAGGGGCTTCCTCAACTACCCAGAAGAAAAACACATCTTTTGGGGGAATTGCAATTATTTGAAAACAACATCAAAGCAAAAGTCTCATCTCCCCAGGAACCTCCAGCATTCATCTTTCCATTCTTCTTATCCGTCTGTCTGCCTTTCTGTCTATCCATCTGCCTATCTTTTTATCTGTCTGTCTGCCTATCTCCTCCTCCCTTCTGTCGTTCTCCAGAACATCCTTTTCCCTCCTGGTGCAGAATTCCCCGGAGAGGAGTTGCTCACTGAGCCTCCAGCGGCAGGTGCTGTTTCAGCACCTCGGTCAGTGCCACACGGCTGGGTCCCTCCCTGATGCCTTTCACTCTGCTGTGCCTATGCCAGGACCACAGGACAACATACTGAAACCAGGAAGGGCTGCCCCAAATTCTCAGACACTGCTCTGAGGAAAAAGCTGTCCTTTGAAGCGAGGAAAATAGGAGGAGAAAGGGGCTGGTCGGCCAGGCCTGGCATCCTGGAGTATGGTGGGCAGAGGCCGTTGGGGGAAGAGCACCTCGGGGGACCAACCAAGGCACTGACCTTGAAGAGGCGAAGGATGTTGGCAACCATGATGGAGACCGAGCTCCCTGAAGCACCGATGACACCCACCACGCGTTCAGGCTTGGTGATGATGGGTGGGCCGCCACTGCCACAGCGGACCTCCGTGCCATCCTTCTCGATGAGCGCCTGCACAAAGGTCAGTGACTGCTCGAGGGCATGGGTGTCCCTGGAGCAGGTGTCCAGAATGCGGGCGCCCAGCGTGATGTTGGGCAGCAGGTCCGGGTCGTTGTTGATGCGGTCCAGGGCGAAGAGCATGGCCTCCAGCCGGTGGATGCCCTTTTCCTTCTTAAGTTCTCCACAGGCCTTGCCCTCTGAGCCCCGGCCGTGCACCGGGAACAGGCCTCCCAGTGTGATGTCCCCATCTATGCGGATGGAATTCATGTGAGGATGGCCTTTGGGCTTCCCCAGGGAGGAAGGCATCCAGGGGCCGTAAAGGCTGAGGAGCAGGCAAAGGGGCAGCCGGGCCCACCACCAGCCCAAGCCTCTCTTCCCAGGCATCTCGGAAATCCCTAGAGACCCATGAACAGCAGGCTCACTCCTAGCCCTGGCAGGTCCCTGGCCCCACGGCCTGGGTGAGCATGGGCAGGGCAGCTTCAGCAGCAGGGGGACTGAGGGCAGCCAACCACATGGCCCATGCTGCTGCCCTCTCCCACCTCCTCCTTGTCACTCGGGCAAAGTGCAGTTGCCCGCACAGTCCAGGCCCACAGACGGCAGGCAGTGGCCGGGGTTGCAGGGAGGCTCTGATCCTCGTCCCGTCCTGCAGGCCTGTTCTTGGTGGATGACTGTGGAAAGCGCAGAGTGCTCCTAGCTTGGCGTATCTTGGCATCAAGGAGAAAACAGCTCCAATTCTCTCCTCTTACCAACCTTAGAAGGGGAAGAGAGACAGAGAGAGTATCAAACAGAAACCCAAAGAAGGCATTAGCTAGTCTCATCTCTCATCAGGAGCCTGAGAGAAGGAGATGCTGGAGGTTATACCAAAGACTCCATAAATCTCCTGAACGTGGTTTCCTCTCTGCCATTGCACAACTCTGGCTTAAATGGGAGCGTGTAAGGGAGAAATTAGGTCAGGTTTGAAGCTTCCTAAGACCCGCACCCACTGCCATCAGTAGCCTGGGTATCAGAGAGCACACTCCCCAGGAACAGCCTGGAACTGGCTTGGGAGGAACAGGGGCCTTCCTCAACACACCCATGTGAAGAGCAAGAAACAGGTCCCATGGGCCCAATCCCATCACAGATGAGGAAACTGAGGCCCAGAGCAGGAGAGCATTTTGCCTGAGTCACACAGGGAGTGTGCAATTTAATTCCAAGCTCAGAAAAACTTGGACAATGCCTACTGCAGCCCAGCTTCCCTGTTCTCAGCTCTGGAACCTGAGACACTTTGGCTCTTCAGGGACTCAGAGACCCAGAAAGGCAAGTAAGGCCCCTCAAGAAGAAATCATCCTGAGAGGTGGTGGTGCAGGCTGGAGCTGCTCACTCTGAAGGCCAAGGGAAGACCAGGGAGGAGCTGAGGCTGTGGGGGTTCTGGATTTTCATCCTGAGTCAGGGGGCGCAAAGTGGACCCTGTACTCTCCGGCTTCCACCCCAGCTGCACAGCTACCCCAGGCAGAGAGGGTAAACCCAGCAGCCCCTGCCAGAGCAAGCCTCCGTTCAGGTTGCACGTCCTCCCTCCCTCCCTCTCCTGACTTTCTTCATCTTTCCATTTCTCCACTGCCCTTTCTCCCAACCCCCACTTCCTCCCTCTGAGAGCGGGGCTCGGGTTACGGCCTGAGCTACTGCACATTATTAAGATCATCATCATTATTATTGTTGTTGTGATTAAATATTTATCTGCAAGGGTAGAGCAGAGAACACCACCCTTCCTCATTCTCACTGCTAATTTGGGCTAATTTCCCCTGGGGGTTCCTTCCCTCACCCCAGCCTCCTCACTCAAAGCCAGCAACCTCCCTCCCCACCACTTAGGAGGCCACAGGGAGAAGGGATGGAAGCTAAGTCAGGGCTTGGCTGGGGATCAAACCCAAGGATCCCTTCCCAGGGATTTGTCAAAAGAAGACCAACAAGCCACTTGTGCCTTGGTTTCCCCAAGCAGTTGAAAGAGGAGCTTATGATGGGATTAAGAGGCTTCCCCAAAGATGTGGTCCCTCCATCCAGACCAAGCAGTGGTCTCAGGGCCATCCCTCCCCACCTTTCATTCCCCCAACAGAGGCCCTGACTGCACCAGTCTGGGCCAAGGGGAGGGAAGGAAGCTGCAGAGCCCCAGAGTCCAGCCTCAGCTCCTCAGCTTCTCTGGCCTTCCAGACCCTCATTTCACATTTCACCCCTTCTTCAAAATACTCCCTTCACATTACCTCCTCAGAAACCAAGAATATGGCTACTAATTCTCCCTGGCCCCATGCTGCAGGTGAACCGGTTGCCCAGAGACATCACATAACTCTCCCAAAGTCACACAGCCAGTCAAGATGTATCCAAGACCAGAAGCCGTATCAGCCACACTGGGGAAGCCCCCGCAAAGCCCACAGAAAGTTTCTCAATACCACCCTCTCCTCCGGAGCCAGGAGCCAGGGACCTAGGACTGGGAGCCAATGCCAGTGCTTTGGGGAAGGCTTAAGAGCCATTAAAATACAAGGGGCGGGGGCTGCACCTGTATGGAGCTGTCCATCACTCACGCCCTCCTGTGAATAAGTTTACCAGATCTCTGTCCTAGATGGCTGTGGAGAGGCCAGGAGGTCGGGCGTGATTTGCCAATGCCAGTATCAGGAAATTCAGAAGACAGAAACTAGAAGAGCCACAGCCGAATCTCACAGTTCTGCTACAGTGGTTGGAGGTAAGGTGCACCCCCCTAGTCCTCAGGAAAATCCGTAAAATGGGTGGGTTGGAGTGAAATCCAATCTGGGAGTGATACTGCCCCTGCTGACATATTTTCAGTTATTGCAATCATGACGGAGAGTCAGCTACCTGCCCGTGCTCAGGTGGGGGGCAGAGATGCTGACTGGCCAGCTGTGGGCGGGAGAGCCTGCGGTGAGGTGAAACACCATCCCGTCCAAATGCTGACGGTGCCCCATGGAGAAATCACAGCAAATGACAACCACTGCCATGTGCCAAGCACTGTTCTAAGTGCTTTACCTACATTTTCTCATGTAATCCTCACATCCCTATGAGCCACATGGTATTTTTATCCCTTTCTCACAGATGAGGAAGCCAAGGCACCAAGTGCTTAGGCGACATCTAGCCAGGGGCACAGAGCTTGTGCAGGCTGCCCATGCCCCTGGCTGCTCCTCTGTGCGGGCCCCGAGGATCTCGCAGGCCTTGCCAATTCCAACGTCCTGTGAGTGTATGACCAGTTTCCATGAATTTCAAACGGAGGGATTTTTGGCATCATGACAGGCCATGTGCCGGGGCTGCAGCAGGGCAGATCCGGGCTGGCAGATCAATGCACTGCAGCTTTTGACAGTCAGGCCCTGCTCAGGCTTCCAGATCCTTTGTGAGGGCTCACACTGGCATCTCCTTGAGGCTGGAGCATGTCTGGGCTGAGCAGTGCATACACACGCGCGCACACACACACAAACACACACACACACACACACACACACACACACGGGGAAGGACACAGGCCATGGGGGAAGGAGGCCTCTGAGAGGAGAAAGGCAAACACCTGCAGATTAGAATCAAGAGCCTGGAGCCCCAAGCTGGTAAGATCCCCTGTGAGACCTCCCTCCCACAGGACCGGGTCCCAGCCCCTGCCCACAGGTCCCTGTCCACCTCTCAGTCCCACCAGGCCTGCCTTTTCTGAGCTTCTCCAGAGAGCTGGGCAAGCCAATGCCGCTTTTAGCTTCCCCTCCCTCCTTTGATCATGTAACAGGAACAAGGGAAAAGTAAAAATACCCCATGAGTGAAAGAAGCCACTGAGAGCAGAGGCCGGGCGGGGCGGGGTGGGGCCAGGCGGATGCTCCCTTCCCCCGCAGGGCCACAGGGCCTGCTTCCTTCTGCAGGGTGCGGAGCTGGGGGCATATAGAAGGGGTCCTTCTTTAAAGTCATTTCCCCAGTTTTCAGACACTCCCCGCCAATTCCAAAATAGCCAGGAGAGCTCAAGCCTGGGTTAGTTTGGGGCAGTCTTCCCCAGGTAAAATGGCGGGATGACTGTGAGCCCAAGTCAGTGTGGGCCCCACCGCCAGGCAGGCCTCCTTCCCTCTTTCTTCCCCAGCACGCTCTCCCAGTCTCTCTCCTCTTCTCTGGCTCCACAGGTTCCTTGGCTCCAGGGGAGGACAGATCCAGGCGTGGAGGGATGAGAGCCCTGAAGGGGCAGGGATGATGGTGACTCAGTCACCTCCACACAGTAATAGCTCACAGGCCAACGGTGTTTTCCAGAGCATTCTTTCCAGTGAATGAGTATGAGAGGGGAGCTGGTGGGGGACAGCTGCAGGCTACCTCTTTCCCCCACCAACATTGGGGTAAGGGGGCTGGGGGAGTCCCCATGCATCCCAGCTGGGGCCTCTCTGATATCAAGGGCCTTCGTGGAGAGACTCCAGGAACCTGCCCTGTGACCACTTCTAAGTCTTTTTTTTTTTCTTCTTCTTCTTTTTTGAGACAGGGTCTCACTCTGTCGCCTAGGCGGAGTGCAGTGGTGCGATCATGGCTCACTGCAGCCTCAACCTCTCAGGCTCAAGCCATCGTCCCACCTCAGCCTCCTGAATAACTGGGACTACAGGCATGTGCCACCACGCCAGGCTAATTATTATTATTTTTGCACAGATGACATCTAACTATGTTGCCCAGGCTGATCGCAAACACCTGAGCTCAAGCAATCCTCCAGCCTCAGCCTCCCAAAGTACTGGGATTACAGGTGTCAGCCACTTTGCCCGGCCCACTTCTTAGTATAATATTAATAAGCAGGACCTTTGTGCTTTTCCAACTTCAATCCTTCTCTCGGCATCCAGGGCCCAAGTCAGAAAGAACCACAAACCACAAAACCACCACCAGATCTGAAGAGAACTACCGTGATTCACCAAACCCGCAATTATTTTTCACTGAGCTCTTTTATTCCCCTAACACTAAGAAAATGGAACAAAACCCAAACACCACAATAAAAGGCAAACAGAGGGAACAAGTTTGTCTTTTGTTCCCCAGGGTCAGGGTCCTTGCCAGAGCCCTTGGCTCCTTCCCGCTCTTGGCCCTCTGAGGGTCAGCTCCCATAGGAGGGGGTTTGTGGACTCGGGCCACAGCCCCTACGGGCTCAGCAAGAAAAGCCAGGCCAAGAGCTCCCTCCCACCTTCCTCTCAGCTCCCAACTTTCTCCATGTTCCCACCAGCACCCCCTTCATCTCCATTCACCTTTGCCTCTGCAGGGCACACGCAGCCCAGGTGCTCAGAATTGTGAATGGCTGTGTGGAGTCTCGTTTGAATTCCTGAGCTGTTTAGATGCCTCATTGCCCACACCCTGCATCTCCCAGAAGGGGGATGGCAGCGCCATCGCCCCAAAGGGGAAGTGAGGGAGAACTGGAGGCTTCTCACCTCCCCTCACCTCTGTGACCCCTCTGCCATCCCTCTGGGCCCCCACTGGCTGGGCAGAGGTGTGGTTTGTAGGACAGGACCAAGACCCAGGAATCGGGTCGTCAGAACTATGCCACCCCTACCAGCTGCACCTGTATGACTCCCAGGCCATGGCAAAGGGGATAGCCAGTTAGCCCTTCAAATCCTAGCACAGCGCTCCTCGTGCTGACCTCTGCAGCCCAGCCTTGCACAGAGCCTGGCATCCCAGCAGGCTTCGTGGAAGTGAATGAGTTACGTGATGGGAGCCAAATGATTCCTGGGCCTCTCATTCAAGTAATATATTTCTGCATTTAAGGCCCCTTCCACAAGCAATTCTTTAAC